AAAGTTCCTCACCCCTCTACAGACAGATAGAAAGTTCCTCACCCTTCTTGACGCACTTGTAAAGTTTCTTGCTGAGTTTCCGGGAGGCCAGGGGCGCGCAGATCGCGTTCACGTTCTCGATCAGCTCCTGGTAAGACTTCTCGTTCCCGCCGGCGGCTTCTTCTCCGTCCGCGGGAACTTTGTCCTTCTTCACTTTAGTCATTTCTGGTCGAAGCTGTGATCGGAGCTGAAGTGATCGATCCTCGAGCCGCCGGTAACAACACGCGCTGTGGTCACACTCCACACGTGTTGAGCCTCTATCACTTCCGTTTGTCTGAACGGAAACACAGCAGCGCGCCCCCAGAGGCCCGGAGGGTGGACGACAGCCCGGCCTTTCAAAATAAAACCGTTGACACGAAGAAGATTAAACAATAAGACAAAGTTTTGAAAACGAGAGAAACGTTTATTTCTTATAAATACTCCACGTATCGATCCTCATGAAGAGCACGATTCAGACTACAGGAGCCTGTCGTCTTCCTTGTCCTCATACGTTTTTAATTCAAGGACAACGGCACATTTTTATTAGAATAATAAAAAAAAAAGTTTAAAAAAAACTCAGAAACACAAGTGATGACGTCATCAGCGCTGGATGATGTCACTCAGTACGGTGGGAATCCTCCTGCTCTTCATCTCTGTGGAGATTTGACCCCAGACACAGGACGGACAGAAGGTGGAGCACAAACAGTCTCTGCACAGGCTGCCCTGAAGGACACACACACACACACACACACACACACACACACACACACACACACACACACACACACATTAAAAAGAGCACAAACAGTGTTTGAACTTTTAACACAGGACAACGCGATAAGTCTTTTTGTTCTCACTCTGATGCCGTAGCGATGGCGAGCAGATGTCCTCATGGACATGGTGATGGGACGGACGCAGCCGAAGACGTCCAGAAGGGGGAGACACAAACACTGACCGAACTGTTTAGAGGTTTTACAGGCGAAACAGGGACAACACCAGAACAAACAACAACCTGCACAACAAAACAACACAACGTTAACACAACACGAACACAGAAAACATTACAACCAAATGTGTGGTTGTGTACAGTTTGAGTTTCCTATTGTTGGACATTTTACATTTTGGGTGGCCTGAACAGATTCTCAACTTCCTGTGTTTATGACACAAACTATTGACAGTGTGTGTGTGTCTGTGTGTGTGTGTGTGTGTGTGTGTGTGTGTGTGTGTGTGACGTCTCCGTACACTGTTTGGTTTCATGGCAGCAGTCACAGATACCAGTAGTCCAATCAGCTTCATCAGAGGACATGCTTGGAGCCCGTGTGTGACAACTGTGTGAAGTGAACAAACTAAACAACAACCACCAATACACAAACACAAGAAGAGAGAGGGGGGGCAGAGAGAGAGAGAGGGCCAATGTTAGAGGTCTAATCTGATCAAATCGTTTCTATTCACTTATAGATTAAAATCTGATAAACACCAGAGAAGAAGAATCAGTTTGAGCTCTTACCTGTGTGAGCGTCAGACGAGACTGATTCAGCTGCTCTGATTGGACGAGCTTTTAGATGAACCTGAAGAACTGGTCTGACTGGAGGGGAAGATGTCCTGAGAGACACATTCACACCTGACGCCAGAACCACTGTGTCATAATGTCACTGTGTCATAATGACTCTCATTTCATAGACACTCGTTAGAATGAAGCAGCTGCAGCTTTTATTTTGTAGGAAAAAAATGATTCAGCTCCTTGTAATCACTTGTTTTTTTAAATTTGTTTATCAGAATCAGAAATACTTTATTGATCCCAGGGGGAAACTGAGTTTGTTACAATTGCTCCAAGTAAAAGGTAGAAACACAGTATATAAGATTTTGAAGGACCTCAGTCTCCTCAGGAAATAAATGGCGTCTCTGGCCCTTCATGTAAAGCGCATCAGTGTTCTTATCCCAGTTTATTTGTTCCGCTCACTTCCTCCTCCAAAGGTTCAAATGTTTTATTTGTCATCTGCACAACAGATACAGCTACATGCTGCAAGGAAAATCTTAAATCCCAGGCACCTCAAGCACCTCAACATGCAAGTGTCATAAAATAAGAGTAACTAAAAATACAAATAACATAACCTAGTGCAATGAAACAAATGTCAAAAATGAAATAAAACATTATGATAAAATATGCTAACAATAGAAAGTGACATGAGGAGACACATTCTATCTAGATATGGACATAGTGCCATTCAAAGCTGTGGACAAAGGGGGATTTAATACAC